GCAGTTGCAATTTTCCAAGGAACTGTGCTCTTCATGTATTTCAGGCCAAGTTCTTCCTATTCCCTTGATCAAGACAAAATGAGCTCACTGTTCTATATCCTTGTGATTCCCATGCTGAACCCTCTGATTTATAGCCTGAGGAACAAGGATGTGAAAGAAGCCCTGAACAAACTGAAAAATAAAATATGCAATTAAATAACTACTTTAAGTTTCGACATGTCTCATGTAGGGTCATTTTGTTTTTCTAAAAATTATGTCACATGAAAAAAATGGAATTTTATTTAATATTTACTTAAATTTATAAGGAAATTAGTATTTATTTTAATTTTAAATCACAGGAAAATTGATCTCCAAATGTTACAGTACTTTCTTTTTAAAATATATAAGTGCCTGTGTGTGTGCACATGTGTGTGCAGATGTATCCACTCACACATATATGAGTGAATGTGTACATGCAAATGTACTGTTTTCTTAATTCTATTATTTAGAATTTAAAGGACTGCATAATCCAACAAAATTATTTTATGAAAATTTGCAAGATAAAATCTCTTAGAATTTAACAGATATAGTAAACGCTCTATTATTTACTGTGGTTTTTGTCCTGGACATTATATTCTTTTTCTGTTGTATCTCTAAGTCTCATCCTTGGTACCTATTTACCAATAATTCACAACAGATGTTTAAGTCCAAATATAATGCTATAAAAGGCTATGTAGCTAACACTGCACAGTAATTATTGCACAGAGTACCCTGTATCTTGACACACTTTTTCCTCTTTACCACTAAAAGTACTTACCAAAGATAATGATAATACAGGATACTTGTGTAAAAGTTTACTATATTAACATTGGAACTGCTCACTTTATATTTTAGTTTTACAAAGAAGTGTTAATGATGATCTTTATAAATTGGTTAAAATGGAGTAATAATATTAAGAGACTCAAAAATTAGTGCGTCTGAAATTAAGTAGATGTAGTAACTGCTTTTGCACGAACTGAAGTTCCCCCCATCCTCACTTCCTGTGCCTCAAAAACTATCCATAAAAATTAAGTTTCTTGTAGAATTCTCCCTTCAACTGAAGAAACTCTGTTGAATAATGATTAAGTTAGATGATTTCTAGGATCTTTTGCAAGTATCTATTTTCTGCTTGGAATTCTCTGTTATTATAAATTTTGAATGTATTCCTATACAAACTTCATAATATTTGTAAAAATATTTTCCTTAATAAAATTAGTGTTTTGTCTGTGTATGAAAGAATTGATTTAAATCCTATTAAGTTTTATTTGAAATAATGGTAATGGTGATATCAGTGATGTAATATTAATTTCACAAAGTCAATTACTTTCAAATTGGCCATGTAATAGCCTGTTAAATGGATTTAGAAATTCTTGAGCACATAGTTGATGTGAATATTTCAATATTTTAATGCTGAAGTAGTTAAAGCTTATAAATTAGTGAAGCATGCTGAATCATGTAGAAAATGACTACAGTTCATTTTCTAACTAAATCTGATTTTTGACAATAAACATGTATGAAATGTTCTGTAATCACTGTCATACTAATTTGTATAACTGCATGAAAGCATCTATTCTTTCTAAACATGTCAAAACAGAGTCACCCAAAAACACAATTGCTAGATACTTTTGTCTGAGACAGAATTTCTCTACTATGAAGCTCTGGCTGTTGTGAAACTTAATGTGTAGACCAGAATGGCCCAGATTACATGGAGATCCTCCTGCCTCTTCCTCCTGAATGTTAAAAGAAGTGAGCCACCATGCTTACTCCATCTCTAGCTTCTGCCTATGCAGAAATAGTGATTAAATACATTCTATAACATGTAAGAAATTTTCTCACACAGAACCAGTTACTGTAGAATAAAATTTCAAATATTAATATTATCACATACTACTTAAGAAATAACATCATCTAGCTTTGCTTGAAATTTGCTGCAATCTTGTGACTAAAAATTAAATTTTACATTGGGACATTTGTACGGAAACTCTGAATGTCATTTCTAGTTTTGATGAATCTAAAAATAATGAACATATTCCATCACAGTCCACTAATCTGCATTCCCTTTATAATCTTTATAATAAAGCAGGGTTGTGGCTAAGGATGATTCATGATGATGATCAAATAACTGTTCAAATGCTCAAACTGACAAAGAATGCAGTAATCTCAGCTCCGAATAAAAAAATTATATTTGTTTTTGGTAAAATTGTTGTATTTTATCTCATTATAAAGAGTGTTAAGTTTATATATATGCAATATACTATTACAATAGTTTTAAAGTTCATTTCAAAAGAATCACCTAAAAACACAACAGATTAAAAATTTAAAAACCAAGAAGAGAAGAAGAGGGAAGAGGAGAAGAAGAAAAAGAAAAAGAAAGCATATATTTGCAGTATTTTGGATGTCATATCAAGCCTGTGAGTGTCAGAAAAAATAGCTCATTTCAATTATAAAGTGCAATAGGGAAATAGATGTTCCCCAGGGTAGAGAACCAGTAGTACTTAAAGAACTCTCTTTATTCTGACACTGAATATGTTGGAGAATGTAGATAGACTCTGAAAAAAAAATAATTTATTTGATTTAATTTATTTTTACTCTTTCTTTCATTTTATAGAATCCAATAAAGGTAAGTAGTTTATATATTTTGTTTTAAAAATTTAACATTAATTACTTTTGTATATTGCAGTTTATGCTTACAAATGGATGTTTGTCTGTTATCAGTAAATGATCTATAGTAATAGAATATTTTAAAATATAGATTGATTTTCTTTTAAAATTCCACAACCCTGATTCATGAATGTTCATAGTCTTCTGGTTATAATTATTAAGAGATCAAATGAAGCCATAAGGCAAATAACTTTATAATATCAGGAGCACAGATACTAAAATTAGGATCAATATCATTTTTGTGGTTTTCATCATAATCACATAAATACTAACATGTATTAATAGAGTCCTGTGTTAATCATATACATAAATTTTTACATTTATCTATTCTTAAGACAGTATTTGTCAAAACAATATTTACATAATAACAAGACCGATTACAAAATTTTACTTGAGTTCAAATTCCATGCACCTACTGACAAAGGGCTTTTTCCTTTTATTTGGTGCTTTTCCTGCATTATACTCAATTTAAAATAAATTGGAATGACTACATGAATGAAATTAAATTAAGATATTGTAGGATACTATAGATACATGGGCATTTTTTGAGTAAATCACACTTGAAATCATATCATAGTTGTGCTACTATCCACAATCAAATGATTATCTGAGTAACTCAGTTGTAATACTGTGTGTATAATGACATTCATTTCTCCAAATCTCATTTATTTTCATTTATTTTTGGCTGATACATTGCAATTATGAAAGTTTTGGGTACCATGCAGAGGTTTGATGTATGTTACTCCATAACATTAAAATTGGGATAATGTTCTCTCCTGAAGCATGTATAATTATTATGTTTAACATATTCAAATATTTCCTTAGGGTTGTTTAACAACAGTAAAATATAATTGACTATATTCACAGCTGTAGAATAGCAAAAAGCAACTTTTAATTTTAAGTAGAATTTAGTTCTGCTAATGAACCTTATCTTGTATCCCTCAAGTACTCATTCTCCAAGGTTTTTATAACTTATAAAATCTTCTCTTCTCTGAGACAATTTACACTGTTTGCTACAATGTTAGTATCAAACTTTAATAAATAGAATTTAGGTCAGTGGAAGACTATGGATATTTTAAATAATTATTTTGTCCAGAATATAGTAAATGCAATAACACAGTAAATACCTATTTAAGTTGTGTGTTTGATGCGTGCATCTAAGTCACTGCCTACACTAATCACACTTAGCAATGACTGCTTATTTTGCTCTCTCTTGCAGTGAGTTATTCCATTTATCCTCCATATCATTTATAAAATAATATGTAACAATATTGTTCCTACCAAAATGACTTTAGGAATACTGTTTCTGCAAGCGATAAAGGAAATAAAATCATTCTCTCAGACCCCCACTCCTATCCACTTAACATTCACAAATACAACTTTCAAAAAATTCATTGAGTAGGGGAGGTTTTGAATTCTAGCTGAATCCACATCTTACACCTTGAGGGATAACATGATTGAAGCAGGTGCTTAGACTTAGCAATTTCCCAATAAGATACTAAACCACTTTTGTCAAATAATAAGTTTCCCCCACACATTAAATGCGGACATATTTTTTGAATGCTTACAATGCAGGTCTGGATATAAGGAAATAAAAATATATGTAATCCTACCAAGAACATTCACATACAATAACATATCAAAGAATGAACTAAAGAAAAGGAATTCATGAGTAGCTGAGAGGTTTAAGACCGTCACATATGAAAGTAGCAGGAGGCAATCTTACAATAAAGTAAGTAAACGTGCCTTTGGAATGTACACCTTCTCCGTAGTTATTACTGAGATTTTCTGCACATACATCACCTCAGTCATTATCACTACTCAACATAAAATGTGAGCATAATTTGAGTGATGGTTTTGCAGATTTTACATTGAAGTTTAAATAATATTTTGTTGTATTCTACTGTTTGTTACTAATGCTTAAAGAATATTTGAAGTATTATGTTTCTTACTATCAGTTTTTAAGAATTAAGCAACCTAGTTCTGTAGATATTTAATCATTAAATTATCTTATACTGAAACTGGTGATTTGAAAATCAAGTAAATATAATCTGAGTGTCACAGAAAACATATTTGAGTAATGAGTATAAACTCAAGTAGCCAAATTGAACATATTTCAAATTACCAATTATAGTCAGTTTAAGTGAATACTCCAAATTTTAAAAATTTCTTACAATAAAATTAATATAATTTCTTGAGAAGGACGAAATACTAGGCTTTGCATAGGCATTTATTTACAGTGACAAATTCTTATAGAGAATGGAGTAATGAAAATGAAAGGTATTCTTGGATTGTAGAAATGGAAACCAATCTAAAGACAAATGATTCAGACGAACTAAATCATTTCCACAGATGAAGTTTGAAGCAGAAAGCAACATTTCCACAGTAACCCAATTTGTCCTGCTGGGATTCGCTTCACTTCCCAACCTCCAAGGGATTCTGTCTGCAGTATTCTCCATCATTTACATGATTATACTCATTGGTAATTGCCTCATAATATTAATAACTAGACTTGACCCTACATTGCAAAAACCCATGTATTTTTTCCTGGCAAATTTTTCCACTCTGGAAGTCTGTTACGTATCAGTGACTGTCCCAAGGATTCTCTTCAACATTTGGACCCAGGATAGAAACATTTCTGTGCTGACTTGTGCCGTGCAGATGTGCTTCTTTCTTATATTGGGAACAGATGAATGCTTTCTCCTGGCTGTGATGTCCTATGACCGCTATGTGGCCATCTGCAACCCTCTGCAGTATCCTCTGGTCATGAACTCGAGAAAATGCACTCAGCTGGCCGCAGGCTCCTGGCTCAGCGGCATCCCAATACAGATTGGCCAAACCTGTTGGATATTCTCTATGCATTTCTGCAGTTCTAACCAAATAGACCACTTCTTCTGTGACATACCCCCCATTCTCAAGCTGGCATGTGGAGACACTTCAGTGCACGAACTGTCTGTATATTTGATTGTGATGGTGGTGGCTGCGCTCCCCTTTATATTGGTGCTTACATCCTACAGTAAAATCATTGCCACCATTCTAAGATTACCTACAGCCAAAGGGCGGGCAAAAGCCTTCTCCACATGTTCTTCCCATTTGCTGGTGGTGGTTCTGTTTTATGGATCTGGTACCATTACCTACTTGAGACCAAAGTCCATGCATTCTCCAGGAACTGACAAACTGCTGTCTCTGTTCTACACCATTGTGACTCCCATGTTCAATCCACTCATATACAGCCTTAGGAACAAGGAGGTGATCGCTGCCCTGAGAAAGCTAAAGCTGCAAAAGTAGGGCCGTGTGTTAGCATCAGATTGTTGTATTTCCTTGAATTACTGGTAACTCACACATTTTGTAATGTTTCATCCTCATATTGAGAAGGAAAACACTTCCATTTTATAATGCATTTTTAAACATATTTTCTAGTTCACTTTAGTGTATTTATATGTTCATTAGGCAAGTTTTTTCATCCTCAGTGAACCATCTTAGAAAAATTATTTATTTTTAAAAGCAAAATTTAATATTTCATATTTTTTTGTTTTAAGTATGCAGGTAGAATTCAAATTTTTACTTCCATACCCTAAAGTTAATAGATTTTTTAACATATTCATGTCTATATTTTCTGAGTCTTCTATGGTTCTGAAGCATATAGGGCAGTAGAAATAGAGTAATGAATGTTTATTGAGTAAGTGTGTAAGTGATGACTGAATTATCAGAAAGTCTTCCTGACACTCAGAAAAGATCTGGAAAAAACTACAGTTGCTATTTGAGTTTATTTATTTAAGCGATTCTGCTCCACTATTGAATCACAGTACCAAAGGAAAAGCTGAGACCCACATCCTTTCCACTAATTAGTATGAGATCACTTTATAGATAACACAACACTGTAAACATACACAATATTTTTGAGTATATTTTCTCCTTTATTATCGTAATCCTAGATTACTTTAATATGAAGTCCTGCTGTTGTTATTCTTGCTGCTGATGTTCTTACTTTTTTAAACTGCAATTCACAGATCTACACCTTTACCTCTCCATGTTTACAATAATGGATTCCCTGAATTTACGTGTGAATGCAAGAACTTGAGTTATTTCAGGATCTGCATAAGTCCAAACAATTATATGGTATCTGCCAATATGTGCTTTCATTCTTTTACCCCTGATTAGGGAGTTGCTAAAATTATGCAGCCTTTGAACAGCTTTGCATGGGAAAATTGAACATTCAGCAACATAACCGTCCATTTTCATTTATCTCATCCCAGATTTGCAAATTTGCAACTCGTTTTGAAGAAGGTTGTGTCTTTTTCTGAAGTGGTGGCATTCTTGCTAAATTGTCCCTGCTCAGTCAATGACCTTCAGACCGTCAGTGCATGTGCAGACAAACAGCCAAATTAAATTTAATGTTAAAAGGATGGAATAAGAACAGAAGGATGATGCTTTAGACGGAGTAAAGTGTCATCAAGTGTTTCAGGGGTAAGCGTGAATAATAGAATTAAAGTAAACACAGAACATGTCATATATGTATGCAATTGCTGAAAAGGGCTGTTAAACTGAAAAAAATAAAAATGAACTCATTTAAATATTTTAATGTGCTATTTATTTTTGCATTTCTGTTTCATATTAAAGGAATAATGTTTAAGAGATGGTAATACAAAATAGAATGAATAAATCACAAGGCCACACACATGTGTAATTGCACAGTAAAGTGACAATATACTTAAGTATTAAAGCTTAAGCTCTAGAATCAGGAAAAATAGCTAAAAATTGCAAAGTATGTCATCTAAAATATAATGCATAAAAGTAAATGGTTTAGCTGGTTATTAACAAAAGTTACAGAGTTGATTCCTAAGATAGCATTTCTTTAAACACTGGGAAATGTTTCAAAATTAATTATATAACAAAACATATGTTCACATAATAATATTTTTCCAAATTCCTAATTACAGATGAAACTCCATGATAAATAAATATGTAAAATATTTGAATTTAAACTCTACTACAAGTCTCAGAAATACCTAATAAAATATGATTAGCATCATTAACCATTCATGTCCATATAGCCCCAATTAATGGCTGTAAATAGTGAAAAATAAGTTACAAATGATAGACTCAAAACTGGAAAAATATAGGAATTTTGTATATTGATAACATTCAATAAATGTCTATAAAATGCCTCTTTAACATATTTGTTTCTGTATCTAAACTTAGTATTTTACTTCCATAAAACACTCATTTAACTAGATTAAACATCCTCTCTTATTGTGTTTTTGAACTATTTTTCACGTGGTTATGTCTACATAAAGATTTAGCATATGCATTCTGTAATTTATATTCATTACAAAATGAGAAAACACTACTCTGGTTAAATTGATCTGATCATTGATTAAGAATGTCATTCAATAACTTTCTGAAACTTTATATTTGATGAACTGAGGGATATTAAAAGCAGAAATTGTCTGGTCCTTTGAAGTGGTGACCAAAAACTTGCTCTGTCAAAAAACCCTGATTGTTGTGGTTTTGGTGACTAAATTTACAAAAGGAATAGTGTAAAGATAGTGTGTATGCTTTTTGAAATTTTTACACATAAAGTGCATAATTGGCACATCTATTATCATCCACTACTCTTTCAAAACTTTATGTTATAATGTGGGGAATAAAAAGGTCTGACTTGACCACAAGCCATAGAGAAGGAAGAGTCAGACTGAAGATCACATAGCTACTTCAATAATGTTAAATCTTTGATACCTCTTTATCAATGATAGAAAAATTTAAAAAATTATATTAAGGCATTTTATATTTGTCACCAATTGAATGAATTTCTCACTTAATTCATAAATCATTTAAAGATATAATATGTTTAATTATTCATACAAAATATCACTTTTTGGTTTATTATGACATTGTTTATTCTCTATTTGTTTTTTCTTGAAAATGGTTTCTGTTGTGCTGGAACTAACTCTGTCCTAGAACCAGGCTGGCCTAGAACTCATAAAGATCTCTCTGCCTCTGCCTCCAAGCCCTGGGATTAAACACATGTGGTACCACACCCGGCACTGTTTACTATTTGAAAAAAAACAGCCAGGTGATGGAGGTGCAGGCCTTTAATCTTAGAACTTGCGAGGCAGAGGCAGGTGGATCTCTTTAAGTTTAAGGCAAATCTAAACAAAAAGATCTAGTTTCAGTACAGGCACAAAAGCTATTCAGAGAAACTGTTTCAAAAAACTTAAATACATACATACATGCATACACACACACACGTGTGTGTATGCATGTATGTATGTATGTAAAATCCCTGAGTTTTGCATATGCTGAGGAGTCCACTTAAGTTCAAAAATTATCAAACAGTAATGGAAACTGAACAGTCAACTACTGAACCACCCATGGGTCAAGTAAGAAATAAAGAAAGAAATTAAAGTCTTCCTTGAATTTAATGAAAATAAAGACACAATATACTCGACCCTATGGGACACTATGAAAGCACTGCTAAGAGGAAAGTTCATAGCACTAAGTGCCCAATTAAAGAAAATGGAGAAAGCATACATTGGAGACTTAACAGCACACCTGAAAGCTCTGGAAAAAAAAGAAGCAGACTCACCCAGGAAAAGTAGAAGACTGGACATAATCAAACAAAAAATATTCCAGGATAAAAATAAATTTAAACAATTCGCAGCCACAAACCCAGCCTTACAGAAAGTAATAGAAGGAAAATCGCAATCCATCATTGCCATCACTGCCTACAATAACCCAGACATCTAGCTAACCTTCACAACCACAACACAAAGAAGAGAAACACACACACTCTACTATACACACACAAAAAAAAAATAATGACCGGAATCAACAACCACTGGTCATTAATATCACTTAATATTAATGGACTCAACTCACCTATAAAAAGAAACAGACTAAGAGATTGGATACGAAAACAGGATCCAACATTCTGTTGTTTACAAAAAACACACCTCAATCACAAAGATAGACATCTACTCAGAGTAAAGGGTTGGGAAAAGATTTTCCAAGCAAACGGACCTAAGAAACAAGTGGGTGTGGCCATACTAATATCTAACAAAATTGATTTCAAACTAAAATCAATCAGAAGAGATGGATATGGACATTTCATACTCATAACAGGAACAATTCATCACGAGGAAGTCTCAATCCTGAGTATCTATGCCCCTAATATAAAAGCACACACTTATGTAAAAGAAAAACTTTTAGAACTCAAGGCAGTCATCAAATCACACACACTAATAGTAGGAGACTTCAACACACCTCTCTCACCAATGGACAGGTCAATCAAACAGAAACTCAACAGAGAAATAAGAGAATTACTAGAGGTAATGAATCAAATGGACTTAACAGATATCTATAGAGTATTCCACCCAAATAGGAAAGAATATACCTTCTTCTCTGCAGCTCATGGAACCTTTTCAAAAATTGACCACATACTCGGTAACAAAGCAAACTTCCACAGATACAAAAAAATATTAGTAACCACCTGTGTCTTGTCGGATCACCACGGAATAAAGTTAGAATTCAATAACAATTCGAAAACCAGAAAGCCTACAAACGCATGGAAATTGAACAGTCAACTACTGAATCATCCCTGGGTCAAGGAAGAAATAAAGAAAGAAATTAAACTCTTCCTTGAATTTAATGAAAATAAAGACACAACATACTCAAACCTATGGGTAGGTTCACTGAAACCCATTGTAAACTCAAACAGTGAAAGCAGTGCTAAGAGGAAATTTCATAGCACTAAGTGCCCAATTAAAGAAAACGGAGAAAGCACATATTGGAGACTTAACAGCACACCTGAAAGCTCTGGAAAAAAAAGAAGCAGACTCTCCCAGGAGGAGTAGAAGACTGGAAATAATCAAACTGAGGGCTGAAATCAACAAAATAGAAACACAGAAAACAATCCAAAAAATCAACGAAACAAAAAGTTGGTTCTTGGAGAAAATCAACAAGATTGACAAACCCCTAGCCAAACTAATCAAACGGCAGAGAGAGAACACTCAAATTAATAAGATCAGAAATGAAAAGGGGGACATAACAACAGACACAGAGGAAATTCAGAGAATCATTAGATCTTACTACGAAAGTTTATATGCCACAAAGTTAGAAAATGTACAAGAAATGGATTGGTTTTTAGGTAAATACCATTTACCAAAGTTAAATCAAGACCAGGTGAACAATCTAAATAGACCTGTTAGTCACAAAGAATTAGAAGCGGTTATCAAAAACCTCCCGACCAAAAAAAGCCCAGGACCAGATGGTTTCAATGCGGAATT